TTTGTTTACCCTCGTTTGTGTTTTGAATAAAAACTAAAGAAGATAGTGAGAAACTTAACAGATTAAATGATCAGCAATCCAAGAACAATAAAACAGAGATTTTTGTCATGAATTCTATTCTCGTCTACAATTTTGGAGAGTGTACTTTGTTAAATATGAACATAAACCAAGGTGAACGAAACAGGCTCTTTAGAGTCTCATATTTTTGTACACTTCTAAAACCAGACAACAGTTGCGAGCTAACTTGACAGGGATGATAATTGGAATGACTTAGAAGTTTAATCGATAAAATGCTTGCTGATTGGGGACTTGTATTCAAAGCATTCACAGAGCTAATGAAATCTTCTTGTTTACTTTTACAAATTGTGATTTGGGTGGAGAGTGGTCTCATTGGCACTCATACCACATCTTCTTATATCTATTTATATTTCCATTCTCAATTCTATAATATCCTGTAAGTTGTTTCCGTTGGATTGACAAAAGATATCGTAGTTAATGTCACCGACTACTAAATAATTATTATAATGTGTATGTAATACATTCATCGAGAGTTGTAATAATAATCTCACTGACTGTCTGATCACTCAATTTTTGGGGTCTATATATATTGATAATGGAGCATTTGGTTTTATTTATTTTTAGATCTACCTCATAAGTAATGTTTTCAAGGGTTTTGCATTCTTGATTATTATAAATCGAATGTACTAGCAAGTTTTCATATAAAAATATGTACTGACGATCGATTATGACTTTCACATCAAATGTTATGGGGAAATTGTAATATAAAAAAAAGCTGTTCCGTAACGGCAGGAACTTTTATTCGATCTCTTTAATAATACATTGTACAAGGCCAACATAACTTTGTAAATCTTACGAAAGATCGTCAGTGACAAACATTGAAATTAACATCATTGAAAGAATAGTCTGCATGCATTATAAAATCTGAAAGGTCTCCTTCGGTCTCAATCCATTGCTGCATAATTAGTCGCTGAAAACGAACAATTTTAAAAAAACATTTCCTTAGTCTATTTGTCATACACGTTATTAGTAAGGAGCATCAACCCCTTGTTTTGTGTATTTCAGTTATATTTAAGATAAGATGAAAATGGTGCAATCTAAAAAAGCTACTACTTAAAATGCTTTTTATGCAAAACTTTGTATTGTGCAAATTATTTGTGTATTGGACAGCCTATGTTTCTCTCTGGTGCAATGATAAATGACGAAAATGTTTAGTTTCGCTGATTTTTCTTTAATATCTTTTTTACCAGTACTTACTAAAAACAATTAATTAAAATCAATAAATAATTATTTATTCAGAGATAAATAATTAAGTGTATTATATGTATCTAATTCAATAAATATCAATTCATAATACTTCATAATGTTAGTCTTAGGGAAAAATCAATTCAATCCGCATTGGGGCTATATACATGTAGATTCTACCATTGTACATATCGAGTGTGATACGATATCTATCCACTCTCGACAGTTAAGTTTTAAATATTTAAAATTTAACTGGCGAGAGTGGATAAATATCATATTGCACAAGATTTGATGGTGGAATCTGTTTCTCTAATGTTTTTTAAACGATATGTAGACAAATTCAATCCTTCCTTTCGAATGATCTGCAAAAAGAGGTGTTCTTTCTATGTGAAGTCATCAGGCATTGTCGCCTTTTTTCATGACGTCATAATAGGAAATTCAAAAGAAAGCAAGAAAATTTGACGTCTTTTAAAATCGAATTTTGACCAGTGAATAATTGAGATCAAACGAACCACACGTTGATTAAACAATAATAATTAACAGGTTAGGAAAAGGATAAATCGTGTAAAAATTAGAGAAAATTATGTATATTCTCAGTAAATATACCCAATGACCAAATTCGTTAATTATGTTTACATGACTTTGCATATTTAGATTATATAAAAATGACTACCTTATATTATTGCTATTTTTATAACCTCATGCAGTACATTTCGATTTTCAAACCACGAATTGCTTTTAATTAATGACACATCGATCATAGATAGCCTAAGACAAATATGCGTGTCGTGTGCATAATGTTGTCCCTCCTCCGATCAATTGTTGAGACAGTAATATTTCACATAGTATTACTATCTTATTATTAGTGCCCAAGCATCATCGCATTCATCAAGCTTTGTCCAATGCCGATTGGATAAAGTGACATATTGACACACCTACTTTTAACTGATGGCCAATCAAATGTCTCCAGAAACCGGTCAATACAAAAATACTTCAGTAATGAAAAAATAACAGAGATTTATTTGCGTATTCGATATTTAAAAAACAAAATCTAACGTTATTATTGTGTGATAACAATTTTAACATTAAGTTGTAAAGAAGTGTCGTGTACACCCATCCCCTCATTTTATACACACTATCTAAAATGAGAAATACAAAATATGAGCGAACTGCAGTTTTTCGCGATTTAAAAGGTAGTTTTATACATCGACATTTAATTCCCGGGAACGTCAAGTTTAAAGACTTGGAATAGCTCTGAAAGAAAAGTTAGATACCAAAATGTTCACCAGTGTAGAAATAAACCTGTAAATTATAAAAAAAAAAAAAAAACAGCCCGAACACAGACTAAGGATAAAACACAAATGTTTACTACCATCTAGAGTTTTCATAAAGTAGGTACTCCTTAATTCACAGATACACATGCACAACAATGGATTCATTTTTTGATATGTACCCGAGAGCTGATAAAGACAAATCTTACAAGAATTTCAAAGGTGTTTGCAAAAATGAAAAAAAGACATATTTATTTTTGTAGACAAGCAGCGAATTGAATGAGGAAATTTGATTGAATGAAAAAAAAAAAAGCAAAATGAATAAGTTCACAAATAAAGTGGCAAAAACAAGCATATAGAGTTGCGTAAATGAAAAAGAATAATTATTTTCATAATAATTAAAATGTCAATTTCATAAATTAAAGGATTATAGGTACATAACGACATGACATACTATTCTACATTTCCCATATACAGAAATTCATAAATAATTATTTATTTGTATCCATAAATTACGTCCCGAAGTGCACAGGCTTGGAGCTGATCTTTGGCTGTTCAGCGAGCACTATTACATGATCAGCAGGAGTATATCAATCAAAAGCAAGAGACAGAGATGTTATTCGTGAAATCAGAGCATTCCTTAAATTCGACATTCAAATCATGTTTTGGAAATAGCAGCATGCATGTTTTAATTTATGAACATCACTGATATTTACTTTTTTCCACAAACGCACAGTATTTATGAGTAAAGTTATAACAATGGTTAACTCGGCTCCGATTCGTAACAATGTATTCTGATCGACATAACCTAGTGCCGACATACGCTCACCCTGTCATTTTAGTCGAACAAAGCAATGTAAATTAATGTCACCTTTGACCTTCCTCAACACAAATGTTGAAAGATTTAAAATACAGGTTACAATTATTTCGTAATAAACTGCATTTTAACTTAATCTAACTTTAATTTTCTATTGAAACCGTCGAATATCTTAGTGCTCATCAATGTGTAATATTTGCCGCCGGCCATTACATACATTTAGTAACCGATCAATCTATGATTAATAATACAATCAATGCATTTCTATCATGCAACAGTATGATACAAGTACCTTTAATTTACTTCAATTGCATATATTTCGTTTTAAACTGCTTACAGTAATAAGTAAACGTTATTTCAAAGCTCTTTGATAAATTCCGAAAGTCAATATTCCTAAAACGTACGTCTTGCTCTTTTCAAAACGAAAAACAAAACTGACGCAATGAAGGGCAAATGTGCTTCAATTAAGGATGACTGTTTAACGCCCAGTGGCAAATTAAATGCATAGTCAGGACGGAAACATGTTAATGTAGTATGAATATTTACCCTGCTTTGTACTAGACCGACAAGCTGAGTCGGATTAACGTGCTAGTGCACAAAGTAAGTCCACATAAGACATGTCATCCTACCTGAAAATGTCATTCTGACTCAGAGCCAACCAGCCTTTGTTCTCACACCTTAATGCCATGTGCTTATCGAAGACGCAACAAATGTTCTTATTTAAAGTCTATGGTTTGAACCTGCCGGGGTTCGAGCTAACGGCCGCGAACACGAGACCATCGAGGCGGCTAAAAATGTGCAACGAAACAAAAATATACACTATATTCTCGTGTATTGTTTTGTACATAAACCAGGCCTTCAGTTTTCTCGTTTGAATTGTCTTACGTTAAAATTTGTCATTTCGGGGCCTTTTATAGCTTACTATGTGGTGTAGGTTTTGCTCATTGTCGAAGGCGGATCGGTGACCTATAGCTTAAAAATTCTATGTCATTTGGTCTTGCGGATATTTGTATCATTTGCAATCATACCACATCTTCTTTTTTTATATATACACTATAATTTATAAGTATGTAAATTTTCGTTTAATCAAGCGTTTTGTGTAACACAACTGTTATTTTCACGGATTTGGTAGTTTGATTGTTTTTAATTACATTCACGATCCGATGTTAGATCTTTAACTATCTGATTGCAATGCTTGACCAACATTGCTTACTCTTTCACGATCTTTTGTTCTCGGTATACCGAATGACAGCCATGAATTTATTCAGTTTTGACCACTGATTAGTGTTATGCATAATGCCTGACCATCATTGCTTATTTTTTCACGATCTTTTTTGTCGGTATACCGAATGACAGCCGTGTTTTTATTCAGTTTTGATCACTGATTATTATGATATCTATTTTGTCTTTGCACGCAATTCTCCAGTTTATGACACAAATGTGTGAAAGTTCATTTTATTCAGTGTTGATCAGATATTCATGTGATAGATATTTATTTTATATTTATAACAAAACAAATTTCAGTTTATCACACAAGATTTGATATAAAGTAGAGAAAACATTATATATTATTTGTTAATACTACAGAACTTGCCTAGATTATGATCTTATAACAGTTCTAGATTGATATGAGTGTTGTTTTATTGTAGGGTGGATACACAGCATTACACGTGGCTGCTAATAATGGACATCTGCATGTCGTACAATGGCTGATTGAGGAAGGGGGAATGAATCCTTTGGATAAGTCACAGGTAATATTGGATGTTTTATACTTTATTATGAAGTTATATAGGGAATCATTAAAGACACCAAACACAACATCAACCGTCAACCATTACAGACACGTAGACAACAATTATAACACTTCGTTGTGTTTACATCATTTACCGATTTTGAAAGATTAAAAATTTGACAAATTGTATAGACACGTGTCTCATTTTAAAGATGGCATGATACCCCCTATAAACGAGATGTTACTTTTCAATTGTGTTTTGATTATTTGTTTTCATTGGATTGCTGTCTCATTAACTTTTACGTACATGTTTTTTTATTAAAATCTTTGTTTACAGCCATATCAAATTAAGATTCATACTCGTCTAATATTTTTGGATACACATTTGCTTTGGAGAGTTTTAAGATTTATTGTAATTAAGAAAAATAAAAAATAAAGCAAATTCTAAAGTTGCAATTTATGTTTAAAAGTGTTTGTAAAAATCGTGAAATAAAGAAAAGTCAAAATACCAGGTGCAAACTTAAATTGATAACCTGTTTAACTTAAAAGATATCTGCTTTAGATCATCTCCTTTTGACATCGATCAATATACTACACGAAAGATTGTGTCTTTTATTCTTAAATTTATCCTTGTATCTTATAATTCTCAATTTCAAATATCAAATATCCACCTTGCCGTGGAAAAACTAATTGATTTTGTTCTGATTGTAACTTTTTTTCCTTCCTCCACTTTTCTTTCGGAAGTGTCACTTTTGTTCCGCAACATTTTGATTAGATAGTTGGTATATGATATCGAACAGTCATTGCATTTTTTGAAAATCACTCTTTTTAACCAAAACTCTTCGACATGAGAGTTATCTTCTCGTAAACTGTTTTATTTTTATCACAAGTCCTCAGAAACTGTAGAAGATGTCGCTTAAATTTTTATCTAAAATGTTCGTTACCAAGTTCCTCTGCATGATCCTATCAGTTTGAACTGAAGCAATCCGTTAACATGTTATCAAAGTTATTTCACTGTTTGTGTTCGATATAAATCGTATGTTGATGTAACTCATACATTTAAATTATCGAGACCTCGAGTCTTTTGATTTGAGGTCCCTAGTCAATAAAAAAAACATTAGGTCAACTCCACAGGTCACAGGTCATCTTAGAAACTTTGACATTTACTGTTGTCGTTACTTTTTAGATTCGCTCATAGACATCGACAAAATTTTTTGACCCTCTGAATTATCTTGGGGACATAATTCAATAACATAGAAATCGCCTTCTGCCCGTAAATATAACTGAAATTCTGCAATCAAGTTTATGCAAATGCATTGTGTATTCAAAATAGAATTCCAATGTGTGTATATTCTGAAAATAATCAATAAACGTTTTGTTAAATTACTAAAAAGTATAGACTTTTTTGGCATACTGTGAATGAAGACTCGTGGTCAGCGATTATACACCAATTTATCTGTAAATAAAAAAAAACAATATATATTCATGTTATCGCTATAAATACACGTGTGGGTTTTAGTACAGTCACACCTGTTGAACTATGTGTGCATTCTGAAAAAAAAATTGTGGATTGGTGTTGCAATCCTTGCATGTTCCTAGAAATAGCATCATTTGAAATGAAAATAACGTTGTTGGTTCGGATCAGAAAAGAGGACTACGCATCCCCCCTCCTCATCACATCTTTCTGTTTCGCTTTTTCCTAGAGACTCTATATCAGTATTTAATAGGTGGTCCAGGGTCTCGATTTCCTGTTCGCTTGTTCCTAAAGACACGGTTCTATGTAACAACTCGAGAACCTGATCCCTTTCCCGCTTCTTTGTTTGTAGGTGAGGGGGACACATTACCCCCCGTTCTCTGTGTCAAGAATGTACGTGACATACTTGTCACTGGACGTCATATAGACAATTAACCAATCAGTTAACCGATATGATCTTTGTGTATCAACACATAATGAAAACTTTCAATCAAATTCGTCAACTTTGACAGTCTGTCATCAATCAATCAATAGATTAATCAATCAATAAATTCAACCAACGAAACTAACTAACCAAGCCAATCATTGATTAATGTATGCGAAATTCGTCAAACTCGACTATGTAAAATGTTAATAAATCAATCAATTAAACAATTAACTAACCAAACACAAAACCAACCAACACGCACACACTGACATAAATCAACAATCTAAACCAACCGACCAAACAACTAATTGATATCAAATGTCACTTGGTTGGTTGGTCTAAAAACACAAATTAACCAACCAAAAATGTAATTTATGAGAAAGGGAAAAATTACAGTTCTTCACCTAACAATTGTTTGTACAAACAGATGATCTTTAATTTGTTTTGTTTCTTGTCATATTTTGTGAAAACGTAGTTAGATAAAACAAAATAGCTTTAATTGCTAACACTCACTTCATTTGAACTTTGGCGGATAGTTGTCTCATTTGAAATCATACCACATCTCCTTATTTTATATTAGTAAAATGCATTTGAATTTAACTAGAGATGTTTGTTTTCAGAGAGTGAGGATGACAATCTAAAATTTTGTAATTTGATAACTCATGAGATTTTTTTATTAGCAATATGTATGTGCATACGTGACATGTAAAGATCTACAGAGTGTACTTGCTAAAAATTCCTTTTTTAAGTACCATTCCACAAATTTAAATTATTTTCTAAACCGGATTATTTCTGGTTGTCATATATTTTCACATTGAATAAATGTCTTACATTTAACCGCTTTACTGCAATCACACTGTCTGGCCGTTCGTTCGTGTGTCCAACAAATATTGTCGTCTCTCTTTTCTCAGAACTGCTGAACATAACGACTTTATAAATGGTCAGTAGCTGGACAGTGATAAGTTGTAACGTGCGAGCACTTTTTTTCTGGATCTGTAAGGTACCTACTATCTGTTTGCCGATACTTTGAATTTATCAATATGCTGAATGAACTGAAATTGTTTCGTCACACAATTCTTCAATACTACTCAACATAATGACCTCACATTTAGTCAGCAGATAAACAGTGATAAGTTGTAATATGTGTGCGCTTTTCGGATCTGTCAGGCACCTTTTTCATGTTTTCCGATATTTTGAATTATAAGAAGGGGTTTGCTTAGCACAACAACCTGTGCATTCTTATTTTTTTATTTGATCTTAATTTTCAGAATTGTCAGACTTTATCTTTCAAAATTTAGGATTATTCAATATCATTAAATTGAATATTTGAAACATGTACTTCCATAGGATATTCTCTCCTCTTTTGTGTGTGTGTAATGGGCGGGGGGAGGGGGAGGGAGGGTGCAATTATGCATGCGGAGAAATTGTTTGAATAGGATGGATAAATTGATTGGTGTCAAAATTCCAGTGGCAAATATTACATACAAATAAGGACGAGAACAGTCATGATTATGTAACTTCAACCGTGATTTTGTAAAAGCGCAAAATGCTAAAGTTGACTTTTTATTCGATAGATTATAAGGCTGAAGAAAAAAAAAGTTAATTTACAAAAACAACATAAATAAGACACTGTGCATGTTTTGCCTTCTTCTCGAATGCCTCCTGCGATATCGAAATACCATTTATGTTCATTCTTTTTAAAACATATTTTTAACATACAACACTTAGTTGTATTCTTTATTTACTTCTTTCAGCTAATATAAGGAAATGTTTAAAAGAAAAAGAAAATATTTTATTGAGTTGGTGTTTCCGATGCGCTTTTCTTGATTTACCTTAAACAATAAAATATTGACCTACAATGTGTCAAGCTCTAAATTTCTCGCGTCAATAAAAGTTAAGAATGCCCTAAACAGTGACTTTCAAAGACCTGGCAACACTCCCCTATATCCCATAAATAGCACATGAGTTTCCCAATTTGGGATAGGGAAGTAGACATGGTTATACCATTTTTTTTTTACTTTTACACATTTTCTTAATTTTAATCAATGGACTCATTACAGGTGCATACACGAATGATAAATAACAATAATTATAAAAATCAGGTGATATAATTGCCAATGATACAACTATCCACTAGAGTTAAAATGACGAATATAAGTACACTTGATCCTTGATATTTATAGTATTGATTCATTTTAAGAACATAACATACGGAAAGTCTAGAGGAGAAAATGTTCGTTACGCCTAAACATCCATCAGGACTAAAACGTGCACTTTGTCATTGGCAATGGTATATTCACACCGGACCAATATATTAAGTCATTGGATGCTGTGTCAATAATACGTTTGGTAGACTAGAGAGCGAAATATTTGCTTTAAGGATATATGTCCTCTTTCTTAACTAAAATTAATACTTGAATTTATGGGCGTATTACGTTTCCGGATTATTTGCAAACTTACAATTCAACTTTTCAGCTAAAAAAAGATGATTTTCAATGAGACAGGTATCCACAAACGACAAAAGGGCAACGACCTTGATTTACCTTTAGAAGTTGTTTTGTTGTAATTTGTTTATAACAAATCAAAGGGACAGTGATGCACATTTCTTCATATTCATACGATGAAAGAGTTTTGTAATTAATTCAGTCATATATTTAAAGCAGAATCTAACATAACTTGTCGTTGTTGTAGATGTTGTGACCGACATGTTTACCCCACAACTCTTTTCATTTATACTCTCACTTGAACCTCATTACTAAACAAAGATATTCTAAATGTAGCAATTAATAAATGAATATAAATTATAACATAATGTGATGATACGATCGCCACAAGGTAGTAAAGTGGCTATAGGTTAGAGAATCTGACAATTCTTCCCGCTGTGTTGTTTCTATTCAAATAGAATAATTTGTTTGAACTTAATTTCAATAATAAAGTCACAACAAATACTGTTACAAGACAACACAATAACCATTAAAAAGACAGAAAACAAAAACAAAGATTTATCTTCTGTTGGTATTATTTTAGTATGTTTTTCTATGTGAATTGTATTTTGAATAAAACTGTATATTCACCTGAAGGAAAATGATATTACACACGCAGCAGATGTAGTATGGTA